TTACCTATGTTATTAAAGAGGTCCCCACCCCATAGTGTCTGAGTGTGTCATAGTACAGACCTTCAGCGAGGTAGACCAGTGCTTTTATCCCCATTATACAGATGGAGTGCTGAGGCAGACACACAGATGAAAGGCCAGATTGTCAAAGACATTTAGGCTCGAAGTGAGATTTTTCAAGAGTGCCTAGAAATCTAGGTGCTTTGTAAATCCCACTAAAAGCATCTTTTGGTGCCTAAATGCTGAACTTTTGAAACTCTGTCCTTAAGACACCGGTCTGAGGTTATACAGGAAGGCTATGGCTACACTACATGCTTTGCCGGAAGAGGCAATGCAAATGAAGCACAAGAAAATGCTAATCTATGCTTCATTTGCATTGCCTCTTCCAGCAAAGCATATAATGTAGCTGTAGCCAAAGAGGGAGTAGAACCTATGTCCCTTGGGGTTAGCTCACTGTCGACTTGACCACCCTTTTTGCTGCATGCTTCAAAAAAAGAAGCCTCTGATGTAGGGGAGGAAAATGAAGCAGGCCAATTCTCTGAGACTCCAGCAATTGGTCCCTGATAATCAGGAAATACATCATGATGGACACTGTGAAAGGCAGTGCAGCAGTCATAATGGATGAAGAGAGAAAATGAGTGTGAGAGGAGAGGAGTATACTTAGCTGCCAACATTTACGTGGGGTTCTGATGCCATTTGGAGAGTGGTTTCTCTGAAAGCTGGGTCCAAAACTGCATTTTTCTTGGACCTGAAGTGTTTCAGTGTCTGTATTGCTCCTTGGAGGAATGGGGGCAGTCATCTCAGCTCTGAGCCTTGGCTGGGGGAGACCAGCTGAGCTGACCCAGCAGGACAGAGCGGTGAGAAGCCCCAGAAATCAAGGAGGTGAGTGTCAGTGGCTTTGTCAGCATTCCAGGAAGCATCCCCAAAGAGTCTTCTGTGACCACACTCTGTCACAGCAGGCTCTGTGTTGTAGAGCAATGCCTGCTGTGAAGTTTTAGATGTGAACTGAGGCTATGTCTAGACTACAGAGGTATCTCAGAAAAACTATGCTGCGTCCAGGGAACACATCTGCTCTTCTGACATTTGTTGCAGAAAAGCAGACATGTTGTTTTGGAAGCCCTGTCTTCTTTGTTCCATGAGGAAGAAGGGCTCTTCTGAAAGAGGAGGTTTTTTCCAAAACTTGGTCCAGTGTAGATGGGCCAAATTTCAGAATATCTTCTTCTGACAAAACTATTGGAAAAAAGTACACAAATGGCGTAGCGCAATTTGCGTACCTTTTTCCGATGAAAAGAGGCAGTCTAGACATAGTCTAAAAGCCATTTTGTTTTGTCTTGTTTTGTTCTGAGTTCAAGAAAAGGAAGGAATGAGAAAGTTTTGTATGAGTATCAGATGTGTTTATGTTTCAAATTCTTAGAGTTTCAGCGTTATCCACGCCAATTACAGAACAAAAACCAGAAACTGTTTTTACAGTGCATAAAGTCGACATTTATTGTCATGATTTGTGTTATTCACTGGGCACCATCTGTGTGCTCAACAATGTTCAGAATATGCCAGAAAATCTACTTCCTGACCCCTGGTCTACACTAAGATATACATTTGAATTAAGATAGGCAACTTCAGCTACGTTAATTGTGTAGCTTAAGTCGAGATGTCTTAACTCAAATTTTGGCACTGTCCACACTGCAGGAAGTCCAAGGGAGCACACAGAGAGTGCCCTCTCAGTTTGAATTAGCACATCTTCACTAGATCCACTAAATCAAACCCCAGAAGATCGACTATGGATGCTTCAATCTTATCTGTAATGTAGACATGGCCTGAGTGAATGTGTATTGGAATTGTAACTCTGAATACAATGGCTCAGATATTAAGTATTAAGTGTACAGTTATTGACCATATATCATTACAAGTTCACTGAGATGTTACCATCTGTAAGTGGAGGCACTGATGGCAATAGTTTTACTTGATTAAGGACTAGAAGATTGAACCCTCCATCTTTCTTTTAACAGGAAGAGCTGCCCACTGTTCCTGTGCCTGTTTATTTTCCTTTTCTACCTACAGTGATCCGGATATATCTCCTAAGTTTACTTTTTTTCTCAACTTTAAAATGTGGAATTTTCTCGGTGTTTAGATTTAAAGATTCTCCTTTAAAAAGCTGCAGCTCAGTCACTGTAGTGTTGTGGTGTGCCCTTCTGGAAAGTAATTGTGGGATGTCACCTGATGTACTGAGATACTGCTGAGCCTGCCTTTTCTGCTAGCCTGGGCACCTTTAATCCTGTCTTGCTGAGCCAGGCTCTTAAACCTCCTCCAGCACACGCACAGGTAGGGCCGCACCCAACTGCAGAACAATACAGACACTGAAATCAGGTCTGGGAAGACTCAGTGTAAGGGACTTGCCACAAGGGCGCCCATCTCCCTTGGAAGGCAAACCCAAAACTATAAGAAAATTGCTCCCTCACTCAAAGTCGAGATAATTGCTCAACTTCTAGCCCCGCCTCTCCCTGCTAGAAATGACATAAACTGGATTATATGATAAACAAGAAATAAGTTTATTAACTTCCAAAGTTGAATTTCAATTGGTTAACAAGGTGGCAAAAGGAACAAGACATTACTAAAATAAAACTAAGTATACAAACCAAGCTTGATTCACTAAAGGAATTGGTTACAAATAATATTTCCTCATCCTAAATTTTCTTTTAGATAGATTCCTTCACAGGTCAGGTATCTTTTCAGCCTGGGTCAAGCAGTTCTTCCCCACCCCCACTCCTTTTGTTTCCAGGTGTTTTCAAGTATCTCTTTGGGGAGGGAGGCACAGAAGCAAACTCAGCACCTTGATCATTTTCCTACCCCACCTTATTTAGGATTTTAATAAGGCAGGAATCCTTTGTTTGATTACCCTATCTCCCAAATGGAACAATTCAACAGTCCAAGATGGAATTTAGTATCAAGTGACTGAGTCATCTAATTCTGAAGTATTGCAGCATCCATGAGTCAGTGCCACTATGCATCTAATGGACTATGAAAAGGTAAGACCAAACCTTTTCATAGTCCATTGTCCTTACTCATGGGCTATCAGCCCTGTCTGTGGCTTTTCCGTTTTTGTACCTGAAGTGTTGGCAGCAGGCATTACCCAAAGTGGCATAGCTGAAATAAAGATACATAGTCAATATTCCTAACTTCGGAAACCACAATGATACAGGAATACAAATAGGATAATCACATTCACTAAATCAGAACCTTTCCAATGATAGCATAGTTGAACTCTCTTGCATAAAATGTATCTCAGTTATGCCATATCATTATCATAAGCATATTTTCATAAAGAAAATGGACTGTAACATCACAGTAACTTACCTTTAAACATATGTAAAAATGGTGTTGTCAGCTTTCATGATTTTTATGAGTCTCATGATAATTGCTTTCCTCAAAGACCCAACTCCTAGAGTGAAGTGGAATGTATAATTATTACAGCCTTCATTCTTAAAGAAAAATGAAGTTTCCAGCCCTTGTGGCCATGGAGAAACCTTTAAAATGTGAGTGCTAAAAACTCAAAAAAGGAAAATACAAATAAAAAGAACACCAAATCAATTATTTTATATCATCTCAATTTAAAGCCAATTTTAGGATTTTTGAACATTGGGAGTTGGCAATACTATGAAAGAGAGTTGAAAATGTCAGTTTCGTTCCTGTTTAAGGTCAGTTTCTAATCCATTATTTATTGTAGGGTACACTCCTAGCATGGAAACTCACAGACCTTTGCCCTAGCAGAATATTTCCAAAAGTTATATGATCCAGTTCGAATTTGGTGAACTGTGAAAAAGTGATGGAAAGTAATCTAGATTTTTACCATTGTTTCAATTGTTGTATTCAAGAGTTACTAACAAAGAATATACATTAAAATGTTAAACCTTACTAATATTCATTAAGTGAATTGAAACAAGATGTCAGAACATGAGCTCAGTGTGTCTAATATTTATTTAATTTTCTTTCTTCTATAGGAATTAGAAACTCTTCCTGTCAGATAATTTCTAAGTTATTATCTGAAAAAAGAGATTTTCCAGGTGCCCAAGTAGCCTCTGTAATCAAGGTTAAAGTTGCTCCCCTACCAACATTTAAAATGGTGCCCTTGTGTTCAAGTTCAACTAGGACTTAGACTAAAATATGTCTATATATATAAACAATTTGCAGGAGTTAGTGAAAAGAAAATCCCCTCTCCTCCTACCAGTGTGTGTGTGTGTGTGTGTGTGTGTAAAGGACTTTAATCTACTAATGAAAAGTGCTATATAAAAGTTAGGTATTGTTTACACAGGATGTGTTCATATTTCATGCTCCTTGATTAGGAACTAGCATAAATGTCCCATTTGTTCTTTGAAATTAAGCAAGTATCTTATCCCATACAGATGTATGTAAGAGAGCGCACCTAACAAAGACAAAATTCTTGTGTACAGTGAGTCTTGTTTTGCCAACTAAAAGTCTGACAGGCATCTATACAAGTATGGAGCTCTGTCTCTCTCACACACAAGACAGGCACAGCAGTATTCTAGTCATTGTAAAAAATTTATTCTAAAGTTTTGGGCGTCCTGCAGAAGTTTGGAAGTGTGGAATGCACTCCCAGAAGCCATGATGAAGTGATGAAGACTGGGGAATGGCTTCTGGAGGAACGGATCGGATTAATTGCCCCCCCATGTTGATCCCGTTCCGTTTCTTTCACCTCATCGCCCTCCACGTCACTTTCACTTTGCAGCAGGACACCCCACCCGGGAAAGTTCTCTAGAGTTTAACTAGATTCGCTGCCACTACGTGTCGCTGTTGTCAGCGCCGGGCAGGGGACAGCACTCGGCTCGCGGCTTGCCTAAGACAAGAGGACAGCTCTGGTTTCCAGCTGCAGGCTTCACGCCCCTACTGAGGCAAACAGGCGCTGGGGGGCGTCCCCTGCATGGTTCTCCCTTAAACGAATGGTACGGCCGGGAGACTGTTCCCACCGCTCGATCCAACTTTGTATTTGCCTTTTAGCTGCGAGGGTGAGGTTTAGCCACACAGTGAACGCAAACAGAAAAGTTCAGCGGGATCATGTTTCAGCATCACCCCTTTCCCCCTTTGAGTGTTTTCCAGGCGGGGGGTGGGTGGGGGGGGAATGAGGCAGGCTCCACGCCGCCCCTCGCGCTTAGGAGACCGGGCTTTGCTGCGTGGCCCCAGGAGGCCTCGGGAAAACTCTCTGCCCCGCGCCCTCAGCGCCAGCTCCTGCGCTGGGGTCCCGGCCTCGCTTGGGGCAGAGCCGCGTCGGCTGCCGGGCTGGCTGAGGGAGGGTTTCCAGGCACGGCTCCCAGCGCTGGAGAACTGCCCTTTACAAGAATAACCGAGGGACACCCCGGCTCCTTCCCAACGCGCCCCGCTGCCACATAACCGCAGGCTTCCCGACTGAGGTGCAGCGCAGCCCTGCCCCCCTCCCGGACAGACGGACGGAAAGTTCCTGGCAGCCACGCCAGTGACGGTCCGGGCGCGCGGAGCCCGAGGGGG